CTTTCATTTTCAGGTCTCGGTTACTCATCTTCTCTGCAGGCTTTCCAAATAAAGGTTCAAAAGACACATTTTCTCCAAGAAAGTGTGCAGGGCATTCCTGGACCGAACTGCCCTGGGCTTTGCAAAAATGCATTTTCTCTGATAAGCATGAAGGTGGGTTTTGTCTCTCCTGGATCTTTTCTTCCTAACTTAGTGGAGGGCTAGATACAGCCAGACTGATAAGCAGTAGGTTTTGGTCTCAGGAAAGCAATCTGGTTTGTGTCTGTGGTTCCCCTACAGGCCAGAAGAGTCCCAGAACCTGACATTGGGGTTGAGCTGCCCAGCGAGAGTGCTGTGAACCAAACCTCTTAACTCCTGAGCCATCTCTCCAGCTCCTTCACCTATTATTATTATTATTATTATTATTATTATTATTATTATTGACAGGGTTCTTGCTGAACCTCAGCTCACTCATTCAGTGAGGCTGGCTGCTCAGCGAGCTCCTCTGCCCCCACAGTGCTGGGATAACAGATGTATGCTGCTGTGTCTGGCTTTCTGCTGGAGTTAGAGTTGTAAGCTGTCATGTGACGCCATGTAAGCACTAGGATTGAACTCAGGACCTCTGGGAGAGCAACACAAGTCCTTAACCACTGAGCCATCTCTTTATCCCTAACCCCACACAATTGGTTTTATGAAGTGTTGCCGATGGAAACCAGGGTTCTGTGCACACCAGGCCAGCACTCTACCAACGGAGCCACATTGCCAGCCCCACCAAAAAAACAGTGGGACTTTCCAAAGTGAGTCTAAACAAATCCTATCTATTATGGAAACCACAATGGACATTTAGTTTCCATATCAACAACTGAAAATCCCAAAGTCTGCTTGTGTCCACCTGGCCTGCAGCTTGAACAAGGACTTCAGGTCTCTCCAGTGAACCATAAAGTCAGCCCCACTTTCTAATTCAAAGGCGCTCACGTGCAGCATAAATCAGAGGGGCTGGAAGAAAGGGACACACTTTTAGCCCAGTCTCAGAGATAGTCAGTTTGACCTACTCTGCATTAGAAACAGCTCTGGATGGTTAATAGAAATGAAAACACCTTCCCAAGACAGAAAAACTTCCAAAAGATCAAGCTGATCGCTCTAGTTTACATAAACTGTTCCTATATAAGCCGCTCTGGTCATAAACGTCTAATCGGCTCCCAGGATCTGAGACATAATCAAGGATCCCATTACCTGGCGCTCCATGGCTCTGATTCCCCCACAATTTTCATTCCTATTTGTAGTCTCTGCCAGACAATAAAGCCGGTTCCCCTACAAACCCTTCCCCAGATGGTTAGATCATTATCAGTCCATTTGTCGGCTGCCTCCCACGTTCAGATCTCCTGGAACTCCAGCAAGAGCAGTAAAGACGGCTCGAGAGCACTCGGATGGGAGGCTTCTCCAAGGCTTTGACCTCATGTTTTCTTGGACCTTGAAAACAATTGCCGTGGTGTTTTTCAGCAATTTTCAATTCAAGTAAACTTGATTTGTTTCCAAACAAGACCGTGGTCCCTATCAATGGCAAGATGAAGGGACGGGGAGGCCCTGGACAAGATGGAGGGACGGGGAGGCCCTGGACAAGATGATTGTAACGATAAGGGAAGAGGGAGCGTTCTGAGAAGGGAGATGGTGGAAAAAGAAGAAACAGACATTCCAGAAGTCAGGCCTACAACTAGGCTCCGATGGTGGATATGAGGCCATTTTTGCAAACACATGACCATTCAGAAATCAGAGATGTTCCACCGTGGACTTAGCTTGAGCCGTGTAGGACAGGTGTCACCTGTCATATGGGCCGTCAGTGGCTCCCCTCTGACAGAGGACAGATTAGAGTAGCACTGCAGATTTAGTTAAGACTGCTTTTATGTGGTCTGGGAGTCTTCAGGAGGAAGACCTAGACACAAAGACCCTGGGAAAACTGGTTACCTTCATGTTTAGGTCTGAGGACTGGGCCAAAGAGATGCCCTGATGTAGCAGGCTGGGTAAGGAGACTCAGCAGTGCCTGCCCACATTGTCTTGGCCTGTCTTTGTGGCATTCCTTTCAGGGTAGAGGACAGACCCTCCCTCTGACCCTCCCTCAGAGGTCTTTTGATCCAGGCAGTCAAGGTAAACCAGAGAACCTTTCCTGCCAGCTCTTACATGGGTAGTCAGGAGACAATTTCTAAGTTTCATGAGTTGCACTTGGAGAGAGGGGTTCGGGATTCTATGCCTGCCTTGAAGGAGAGGAAGAAGTAGGAGAACGAAAGACAGGATACGGTCAGAAAGAAAATTTTTTTTTGTGGCTTCCCAGTGTCCTGTGGCTCAAAATAAGCAGCAAAGAAGTGCCAGTGCCAAGCTCTGAACATGTTTCTGGGCCCCAGCAGTGGAGCTGCTCACACGCATCCACAACGGCCCAAACTTCTACCTGGTCCCTGTAGGACCAGGAAGACGGTTCTCATTTCTCACATCTGCAGAGATGATCTCAGCCACTCAGAGAGACGGTTCTCATTTCTTACACCTGCAGAGACCATTGCCAGCCACTCAGAGACCTGGGGGTTCCCTCGCCCTGACTTCCCACAGCCTAGGCGCTACCACGCCCTGTGCACTCCACCTCCTTAGCACCCAAGATGCCTTCCCTCTCTTAGAATGTCCAAGCTCTGGCACAGACTCGGGAATTTTAAACTGCTCATGGGTCTCAGCACCTGCTCTTATGTTTGTCTACTCATGCCACCACACCTGCCCTTCCCACGGAGGCTTGGCAAATACTCAAACAACGGGTTCCCTCTCATTGGATTAGTCTCCCCACCCACACCTGAGCCTGGCAACCTTCTGGATCTTTCTGGTTTTCTCTGACATGATCCTAGTATGTGTTCCCTCAATGTCTCTGCTCTCTTGGTCTGTAAGCATTCCAAGGTCAAAGCTGTGTTTGTCTATACATGTCCTCATCTGCAACTTGAGAAAAAAAACCAAACCTAAGCCACAAGATAACGATTAAATGAGTTAATTCGAAGTGAGACTTTAGCCTAGTAGCTGGTATATACAAGGGTGGTACAAACCTTGTTTATAATAAAGTGTGTGCTTGGATCAGCAAGACAATGAAGTGGAGACGGGGGCCTGCAGGATGACCTAGGCCAATCAGAGGAGCCAAGCGGTTCAAGGAGAGACCCTGGATGCTCAAACATTGTTGTCTGACCTGCACATGCAGCCTATGACAACACATGCCCATATCTATAACCACACACAGTAAATACATTACAATGCATAATTTCATAAACTCTGTGCTCCACAAATACATGCAGAATGGACTGGCCAGTGAAGGAATTCACCAGTCCAGGTCCTGCCCCCATCTATCCCAGCCAGCTGCAGTTTGTAATAGAATGTAGCAGGTCTGTGTGGAAATCAGTGCCAGAGAGGAGTCAGCAACCCTTGCTGTTCTTCCTTCCCTGCCACCAACAGTCCAAACACATCTTTGCTTCCCTGGGGTTTGGAATCCATGCTGCCGTGTTGTGGAAGAACTAACTGAGGCACGGTGATGTGGATATAACAGATGTACGAGTGAGGGATCACAGAGTCCTGTTACTAGATGCTGTTTTCAGTAACTAAGGTGCTCTGCTTAGAAAGCCTAGTCTGCTTTCTTTTCTTTCTTTCTTTCTTTCTTTCTTTCTTTCTTTCTTTCTTTCTTTCCTTCCTTCCTTCCTTCCTTCCTTCCTTCTTTCTTTCTTTCTTTCTTTTTATGAGACAGGGTTTCTCTGTGTAGCTTTATGGCTGTCCTAGAACTCGCTCTGTAGACCAGGCTGGCCTCAGACTCACAGAGATCCACCTGCCTCTGCCTCCTTAGTGCTGGGATTAAAGGCGTGCGCCACCACCGCCGGCTCTGCTTTCATTTCTGTTGTAATGAAATATTTTGATCAAAGCAACACAGGGCAAGGAGTTTATTTCTTAACATTTCCAGCCCATTACTGTTTGGAAGTCAAGGCAGGCACATAAAATGTTACCCCCACAGTCAGGAGCAGGAAGAACAAATGTGGGGATCTTTGCTCGCTCACTCAGATACCCTTCTTCACTCTTCAGCAGTCCAGAATGCAGACCAAGAACAGTGCTCTCCATGTTCAGGACCAGTCCTCCCACTTCCAAAATACACCTCTGTATTACTGAGGGAGCACACACTGGAAACAAGCCCCCACAGCTACTCTAGACCGTCCATAGGAATACAATACAGGCCTACAGTATAGGCCAACCCAATGTAGACAAGTTCTCACCTGAGGATTTGAGGTCATTCTAAGTTGTAGCAAGTTGACAAATAAAGCTAGGTGGCATGGCACCAGGCTTGCAAATGAGACCAGACCAGATGCCTCAGAGAGTTTCCCATGCCAGGTGGTCCCTCCTAACTAATATGTACTCGGGAAATGCTATCTTCCATGGCTAATAGGGTTTGCTTCCTATCCCTCTGCACCGTACTTCAGACTCCTGGAGTCCAGGTCAGTCATGGACTCCACTACAACAGCCAGTGCACAAAAGGAAGCCCAGACTTCTAGTGAGGTTTTAGCAGCTGTACCAACATCTCCATCAAACGCTAGAGATGGAAAATGTGTCTGTGGGTGAGCCCAACCCTGTGAGAGCCTATGATCTCACAGTTTCGTCACTTGACTGTGGACAGCTTACATGGGTTTCCATAGCAACATCACATGGTGCCACAACGTGGATCTCATTCTTCCTTCCCTGTCACAGGAAGGGACTTCTTCCCCTCCCTCGGCCGAAGCTGACATTTCTACTTGTGCCTAGACCCCCGTGCCTTCACACCCACACCACATCACAATCCACTATGATACACGTGTTGATTCTCACCCATTCACTCACAAATTTTGGAAACAGGCACTTCACTTGAAAACAAGTAATTCTAACAAACACATCGACAGAAACTTGGCCTTTGCACGGTTCAGACAACAGGATGTGGTGTGGAAATCCATCACGGGTGATGAAGAATGCTGGGAATGTAGGGAACCCACCTGTTTTTCTGTGGAGCAAACTGGATCTGTGCCTGCAGATGCTGAGGTCCTGGGCCTGGCTCGGGGCTGAGGGGACTGAGGTGCTCTGAGCTGCTGGGCTCCCAGGAATGAAGGGTGAGTTCCGGGGCAGCCTAGCATCATTCTTCTCCATCTTCGATAAGAGGAGAGCATCCTGAGTTTTCTTCTTTTCCTTTTTTAACATGTTGACCAGGATATCTGAAATCTGATTTAAGGATTTAGTCACTCTTAAGAGGTGATCACGATCAGACAAAAATTCAAAAAGAAATCTCTATCCCCAACCAGACAATTGCAACCACTTTGGATAGGCTGGCCGCAGGAGGACAGCAACTCCTTGGATCTGCGTGTGCAGAGGTGGGCGGCTCAGGAGGGAACCAGCCTTTCACGGTGGCACAACAAAAACTATCCAACTGAAAGGTCGTTGAAATGCTGGTTAAGGCTTGTGTGAACAAGTAGAAGGGAACCTGGGGGTGCAGGCACTTGGCGGACTGCTTGTCCAGCATGCAGAAAGCCCTGAGTTGTTCTGAGCACCGCATTAAGTCTACCCCAACACTCTGGGCTAGAAGGAAGATCAGAAGTTCAAGGCCAGCTTTGTCAACTTAATGACTTTGGAGACATCCTAAGCTACACGAGACCGTCTTCTTTTCAGGAACCCTGCAAAAGGCTGGCACAAAGAGTGCAGATGCTCCCCAGTACTGGGGGATGGGGAAAGGCCTACACCCGAGGCTTTCCGGTCACTGTGACCAGGCAAAATGGCTATCTCCAAGTTAAGTGAGACTTGTCTCAAAATATGAGGTGGAGAGTGATGGATAAAGACACCTGATATCGACCTTTGGCATTGAGGAGAGCACGTGTGCACATCACAGTCACACGCAGGATTCTTAGAAAACACAGGAAGAGTACAGGGGAGAAGACCGCTACGCAGGATGGAGGAGGAGCCCAGTTTACACATGATTTTGAACATGTAACATGGAAACAAACTGACTTCCATATTCTTCCTCAAGTTGATTTCTAGATGGCCAATCAGTTCTCCCTTAGAATATTCTATGTGGCTTCCAAGCTTGCCTTGTTAGAATGTCCTGCCCAGAGGCGGATCTCTCAGAGCATCTGTGTCCTGGCTTCCCATCGTGTGTGTTTCAGGTGTTGTACTCGTGGTTTTACACACTGAGCCCTCTCCCCGGGTTTTCTCTCCATTCATGTCGCCGTTCTGAAGCCAAGTCTCGGGGCGCAGGAACCTCCTGACTTCTCCAAGTGTGAAGTACCTGGTGTCGCCCCTGTGAACAGCCTACAGGATCCAACACAGTGAAGAGGGTGGGGGCTGGAGCACGTATGTTTCTCGTTCAGTCTCTCTCCTCTATGAACACATGCGAGCCAGCCTGGACTGGTCCCTCGCTGCCACCTCTCATTTCCTTCCTCCTCAGTGTGTAGATGCGCATAAGCCCTGGCGAGTATTGAGTGGTTGGTAGGAGTATTTAGGGGGAAGATCCCAGTCTAGGATCAAGGCCAAGAAAAGAAACAAAACACAGACTGGGCTAGGGCCAGACCTGAGCCGTCCCTGGAGATGGATGGGGTAAGAGAGAGGGAAGGAATGCAGGGCGACACCACTGTGGGCAGCACTCGGAGACAAGGGCGTGCGTGGGGTGCAATCCGCAGTTGGACTCACCACTGCTGGCTGGGTGATAAAGTAGCTAAGACTGACTTGACTCTGACATGGGGCCTGCTAAGACTCAACTAAAATTAGACACTGAAACTAATGAGGTAGCTCGTCTACATTGTTTGGATTGGTTTTTACCTCTTTACCACTGGTTTTCCTTTGTGTGGATTATTTGTGTCTATGTAAGCTCCTCTCTCTATGTGTATGTGCGTGTATGTGTGTGCTGTATGTATTTGTTACGTGTGTGTGTGTGTGTGTGTGAGTGCTGGTGTCTGCAAAGTCCTGAAGAGGGCATCAGATGCCCTAGAACTGTAGCTACAGGTGATTGTGTACCACCTGATGTGGGTGCTTGGGTGTGTGGGGTAGGAAATCAACTTGGTTCCCCTAGAAGAGTAGCAAGTGCTTTTAACTGCTGAAGCATCTTTCTAGTTCCCCTACACATTGAAAAATTGTATGAAACATGAACACACAGCATGATATTGGTTCGTGGGTCCCTAACCCCGTGTTGGGGACTGAATCCAGGCCTATGTGTCCAGCTCCTGCAAACTTTAACTGCTCAGCCATCTCCCCAACTCCTGTGTAGATAAAGACTTTTTATGTATTTTGTATAACAGCTATACTTAGTAATTTTTTAAATGAATAAAATATGTTTATAAAAATTTGGCAAGCTATTTCTTGTGAGTGTTTAAAGACTATATATGTCATGAAAATGTCAAATCTTCTACAGAAGATTGAAAGGTAAAAATAAGGAACAGTACTGAAGAAATTTCCAGAGTCCTAAGGTCTAAGCAGCCCAGCTGGGACTCTTTAGCAGTAATTGCTTCTGTCTGCACCTGGGCCCACCAGCAGCTACTGCCCTGAGCACCCAGAAGACACTGCCTCTGGGAGTCGAGACCAATGCTGTCTTGAGCACTCAATCTTTGCTCACTCACTGCCTAACTTGGGAACATCTGTATGTGGGACTCGGGAGAAGAGATCTGCCCTTTAAATAAAAAGTCACATCTAAGCCAACTCTCTGTTTCTCATAAACTAAATGCCATATGCCATCTTTTTTTCAGTCATCTTTTGAGTTTCACCCACACACCAGCCACAAATTCTGGGCCACGGTGAGGCTGTGGTTAACATGGGGTCTGGTCAGCTGGCTAAAGATAACCAGCTAACTTACTGACTCTGGACTCAAAACACAAAGCCCACCACAGAGCAATCAAAATATATTTGAATAAGATTTAGTATTAAGAGTCGGTATGGTACTAGCAAGAGCAGAAACCTTCTTTGTAAGAACAACTGTACCAAGGCTTGAGAGACGGATCAGCTGGGCAAGAGTAACTTGACAACCTCAGTTAGATTCCCAGGTTTCATGTAGTAAAAGGAGAAAACTGATTATCCTCTGACCTCTCCAGGTGTGAACACACACACCGACAGCAACAACAAAACCAAGCTAAAATGCTAATGCCAGATGTTTGCTTGAGCTCTGCAGGTGTGACCTCAGTGTGAAGCAGGCTGGGAGAGGCTGGGACACCGAGGAACGCGGGCACATCACAGGGCCAGGAGTGGGGAATCTACATGTTTCCCCGATTCCAAGCCAGAAAGGATACTGATTTCATTGTCCCTCTGCTTGAGCAGGTCTCGGAGCGTTGTGTGTTCTTCATCCTTCAGTGGCTCTTGGCATGCTTGGTGTGTGGTTTCGGAGGAGGCTGTATTCTTCATGTTGCCCTTGTCATTCAACAGCTTCTGCAAGTGGGGGAAGAGCCTACTGAGCATGCCCACATCCTGGGGAAGAGCCTACTGAGCATGCCCACATCCTGAGTTTCTCTGCTGCTGTGCTGGCTCTAGCACACACTGGTCACACATGGCTGCCCTTACCCTTCCCTTTCAGGCAGTTACCGTATTGGCTGGATATGTTTTCCTTTCTCCCTGCCTTTCCCATTTCCCTCTCCCTTAGCTACTTTCACTTCCAAACCCCCTTAAATAGTATCCCTTCTAGATTCCTCCCCCTTGTTGTGAATTTATTCAAAATTGAAGCATTCCCTCTCAGAGTGAGGAGGGAAGCTCCATGACTCAGGAAGCAAAGCAAGAAGCAAACAAAACTTCCAAGGCACAGGAAGCTCCTGAAACTTATAAGTCTCAGAAGGTTCTTCCCCCAAGGTTAACAAGACAGTCACTGGAGGGAGACTTGTAATGTGGCCTGCAGGTGACAAAGGAACTCAGGCTATGCAGTTTTTCTGAGTCATCACCCATGCTGGGGTGGGACTTTCAATGACACATGTGCTCTGTAACCTTAATAAAGTCATTGCTTCACTCAAATAGACTTGGCAGAAGAACCCATCCGTTCTGTTACTGCTAGATAGATGTCTGTTTATATCTCTACAGAAAAGGGTACAAAATGTTCCCTTATCTTACAGTATCTTTGCAAAGTGTACAATATTACACATGAAAGCTGGTGACATTCCCACTCCCTATCACAAAAACAAAACGTCAGAGGCTGAGGAAAATTAGTAAGTTATTCAGATAAATAAAAATACTGGAAAAAACCTGAACACACTCATCTTTAAACTGTTTGAAAATGTGTGTGTTCACATTTCGTGTTCATGTGTGTGTGCACATTTGTGTGTTTCAGCATAGACATATTCTGGGCACAGGACAGGGAGACTCCTGGCAAAGGAATCAGGAGTCCGTGGCCAGAGTTTATTTGTAAAGCTCGATACGGTCCCTGCAGCTGCCCAGCGATAGTCACAGCCTGGCTGGACGCGCAGGCTGTTTTCTGCATGTGTGAAGCTGGGTCCTGGTGTTTCTAGAGTTGGTCAACAGGAAGAGTTTTATTGCAGTTGGAGCATGGCAGGACATGGCTGAGACTGGAGGAAACATTGACATTTACCTTAAAATGATGAAAACAGTGATGGATTTTACGCATATCAGCGCCAACTTCCAGTCTACTCTCTGGATCTTGGTCTTCCAAAAAGGATGCTATCAGTGTTTCCAGCCTAAAAAGCACACAATGCATGAGAAGGGCGAGCTGGAAACCCGGGGCCCGATGGCGGCAGGGCACTTGAAGCACGGATACTGCGCCTGCATTATCTTAGAATTCACTTCTTTATTTGACTGTGAAAGTGATGGGAGAGCATATTGATAAAGTGAAATCTGCAACTATACATTTACTTGGCTAATTTCCAATGAATGTTCACATGCAGGTTTCCAGATAAAACCTACCTGTGGGCTGGAGAGATGACTCAGTGGTTAAGAGAGCTCACTGCTTTCCAGAGCATCTGAGTCAAGTTCCCAGTGCTGTTTAGTGGCCCACAATCACCTGTGACTCCAACTTAGGGGATCCAAAGACCTCTTCTGGCCCCTGAGGGCACCGCATGCATGGGTGCATTCATGCGCATGTACGCACACACACAAATATATAGAAAATTTTAAGAGTCATTTGATTTCTATAACCAACCCTTTTCTAGCCACATAGAACCTTTTGCCTGTGTGTGCCAAGCTGCCACATTGTTAAAGTATAAAAATAAAGAGTTCCTATATTAGTTGCCGCCCCCAGCAGCGCTCCTTCAAGCATTCTTGGTGGACCTGTGGCATCCACAGTGGTTCTTCCAATATCCCCAGGCTCCCCAAGCCTGCCACTGAACACTTCCCCTGGGACCAGTGAGGCGCCTTCTCCCCAGACTGAGAAAGCCAAGCCATGGCTGCACACTGTGCCTTCTCTCCTCCTCAGACAATAGTGCTGCCTCGGGTGGCTCAGGCTCTCTCCACCTCTGTCCCTAACTGAGAACTCTTCCTTCTTCTCAAGGCTCTCTCTCCCACTGGGCTTCCCCCGACATCTTCATCATTATTCCACACAGACTCTCTTCTCTCCACGTTCAGTAATTTTCATGTTCTCCTTATTCTAAAAATAAAAAATACCCCCCTTTGGGGAAGAACAGACAACCCTATACCCTATTGGTCCTAAACTCGTTGGCAGTATCCCCTGCCCCTGCTGTATTCTATAATCTGAGGATGTGCCTGTTCCGTGCCATTCTCTAATTGACAGGATCTCATGAGAATCACAGCAGGGTTGGGTTTCAGTCAGCAGAGGGCTTATCATGCAACCAAGAAGCCTAAATTCGGAACTCCAACACCCATGTAAAAAGTCAAAAGTGGGGTGCTTGCCTGTAAATCCCAGTGCTGGGCAAATAACAGTGGTGAACCCCTGGGGCTTGCTGGCTAGTCCGTCTAGCTGAATGGGCAAGCTCCAGGTTCAGGGAGAGACCCTGTATCAAACTATAGCATGGAGATAGCAAACATTGACCTCTGGTCTCCGCATACATGCTCATGTATATGTGAGCATACACCTCTACGCATGTGCAGACACATGAACACACACACAGATGACAACAACGATGATATAATTCTTGATGCTTTGTGTCCCACCCCAGCATTAGGTGCTCAGTGCAAATACACAGGTTAGGAAATGGATTCATCTCATTGTGTTGAGTTGCGACCTTAGAAGGGAAGGCAGAAGGCAGAGGGATGATGGTCAGAACCTAAGCTGCAGGCCTCTGAGCAGTCCTCATATCTTCCTGGCATGAAGAAAACATGTGCACACTTCCAGACACACGTCCCTTCCGGCTGTTACCAGTGGCCCCACACGGTGTACGATGATTTCTGTCTCAGAGCAGACTTAGGTTTGTTTGTATTTCTTCCTGCAGCTATAACATGTGCTAGCTGAGGCTGTCAAGTATGAGACAATTTATGTTGTAATTCTCTCTTCTGACTTATTTTTGTTTTCTTGAGACAGAACCTTTCATCATAACCCAGCACGTCCTCACATTCACTAGGTAGCCCAAACTGGCCTCCAACTGATGCCAGGCCTCCTTCCTCAGCCTTCGGAGATTACAGAAATAGCCACCTACCTACCGTTATCTTGTAATCTTTGAGGATTTTCTTAAGATGTAGGACTGTTTCGACTTTCACATTTTTTTTCTCTCGAGACATGATTTCTCTTTGGCTTTGGAGCCTGTCCTGGAACTAGCTCTCGTAGACCAGGCTGGCCTTGAACTCACAGACATCCTCCTGCCTCTGCCTCCTGAGTGCTGGGATTAAAGGCATGCGCCACCACTGCCCGGCCACTTTCAGTTTGTGTGCGTGTGTATGTTGCTATGATGAACCACTCTGACAAAAGCACGTAAGGGGTGTTGTGGAATATCAGGTAAAGATGTGTTACATTTGTTTCTGCTGTGGAATATTTGTCTAATGATGCAAAGATGTGTTGCATTCTTTTATGTTGCGTTTGTTTAACTCTGTGAAGCTGTGTTACTTTGCCGTCTAAAACACCTGATTGATCTAATAAAGAGCTGAACAGTTAATAGCAAGTCAGGACAGGGATTGGTGGGGCTGCAAGACAGAGAGAATAAACTGAAGAAGGAAGAAGAGGGGAAGAAAGAAAAGGAGAGAAGGATATTAAGGGCCAGCCAGAAATGGAATAAGAAGGAAAGAAAAGATATACAGAAATAGAGAAAGATAAAAGTCCAGAGGCAAAAGGCAAATGGATTAATTTAAGAAAAGCTGGCAAGAAATATGCCAAGCTAAGGTCAGGCATTCTGGGGGGGGGGCAAAGAGTAAAAAAATACAACTACACTCCTCTCTCTCTCTCTCTCTCTCTCTCTCTCTCTCTCTCTCTCTCTCTGTCTCTCTCTCTCTCTCTCACACACACACACACACACACACACACACACCTACCTAAATTATCAAAATAATCATCATTTAATGACCACATTCTCTATTCTCCTAAAAAAAAAAATAGCAGGGAACTTAATCAGAGAATACTTAAGAAACAATATTATGGAGAAAAACCACAGATACAAAAGTGCCATTTCGGCTAACTGTAAATGTTTAAAATTATTTGTGTGTCTGTGTGTGCATGTACGTGTGTGGGTGACCACAGAAGCCAAAAGAGTGTGGGCCTTTGGGGCTGAGTCACAGGCATTTGTGAGTCAGCTGATATGAGCGCCCAGACCCCAACACAGGTCCTCATGATACATCAGTGACTGCTCCTGGCTGCGGAACCTCTCTCCAGTCACGAAGTTATGAAATACATAAGATATCAAAAGTGGTCATGAGTGGTGGAATTAAGTATAATGAAAACTTTATTTTCAGTCATCTCACAAGACTAATAAAAGGAGTAACACGGGTAAACATGATACAGAAGAACACGCTGAGGATAACACGAATAAACATGATACAGAAGGAGTACACGCTGAGGATAACACGAGTAAACATGATACAGAAGGAGGACACGCCAAGGATAACACGGGTAAACATGACACAGAAGAACACGCTGAGGATAACACGGGTAAACATGACACAGAAGAACATGCTGAGGATAACACGGGTAAACATGATACAGAAGGAGAACACACTGAGGATAACACGAGTAAACATGATACAGAAGGAGAACACACTGAGGATAACACGAGTAAACATGATACAGAAGGAGGACACACCAAGGATAACACGGGTAAACATGACACAGAAGAACACGCTGAGGATAACATGGGTAAACATGATACAGAAGGAGGACATGCCGAGGATGGCATCCAGTGAAAGGCCTGACTTTGGGGCCGGGAGACTGAGCCTCAGGTGAGACTGCTCCAGACAGTGGCTGGGAAATGCAGTCACGGAGGCAAGAAGTGGGCAATCAACAGGTGTCCATCTCACAGGATCTCTCTGGGTGAAGAACTGCCTACTTACATGAAGGGTGTAAGCAGGTTCAGTGAGATGCTGATGATGAGCAAGGGACACACATGATCCCAAACATATCTGACAACAGGTGACAGCAGAGAGTGACCTGCCACCTGGACAGTCTGTCCAGCCCTGCTGTCTGCTCCTGCCAGGCCTAATGCCCAGCCCACGGAGAAGGGAGGCGAGAGCTGGATACTGGCTGACTTTCTCCAGGCTCCTCACTGCCCTTCAGCTTCCTCACAGTGCTGCAGATCCCCCTGGGCTCTCGTGAGCACCCCTTACTGGCCCTTCGCTGTAGTGGCATTTCATTTGTATTTTAATAAATAAAGCTTGTCTGAAGATCAGAGAGTAAAACAGCCACCCAGGTCAGCCTTACAGACCAGGCAGTGGTAGCCTACCTCTTTAATTCCAGTAGCCACACTAGTTTGCCATAGAATCTGGGTGGTAGTGGTGCACGCCTTTAATCCCAGCCCTAGAGAGGAGTATAAGTCGGAGGAGACAGCTCTCAATCGGTCTCATTCTGAGATTCCTGGAGGCAGGATCATCACTTCAGACTGAGGTAGAGGTAAGAGCCAGTGGCTGGCTGCTTTGCTCCTCTGACCTTCAGGTTGACCTCCAATATCTGTCTCTGGGTTATTATTAATTGTGCTACACTTAGCCCTGATCCCTTTAGAGGTGATGGTACCAACAGAAAGGATCAGAAGTCCCTTTCTGGGCCTGGGGTGGGTCACGGCACACTTCCCTTTGCCCCACTGCTCCCTCATCTCAACTTAGTTATCCACCCACTGCACGCTATTTGCTGGTATTTATAAGGATTGGAAGCAATGGGCAGGTTTCTGTATGAAGATATAATCTTATTTCTATGCTTTTGCAACAGAAGAAAAATAATAGTAATTTATTAAATGTCTACACTGTTTAAGTAAATAACGACTGCCCATGGCCAAAATGAGAGGTAAAAAGAATATAAATTAATTAGCCCCTTGTATTGACAACTCCTTCTATAAAGTCTACGTGCAGCGTTTGAACTCCTTGTTTGCTGCAGGCAGACACTATGTAAACACCAGTTCTATTACATAATCTGTGATACCTGAGGGATTAGCTCAGAGGAAAGATGATGGTGGCATTGTGGGTCAGTGAGCAGAGATGCTAGACAGGAATGAAACAGCTGGCAGGAGAATGAACAAGACAAGCCACGCTGGGGCAGGAAAAGTGACAGCAGAAGCCAGGCAGGGTAGGCTAGAAGGCATGGCAGAGACTGGAA